TTCTTCCATCCTTCCAAACTCTTTTTCTCCTTCCTCTTTTTCCCTCCTCCCTCCCTCCCTTTCTCCCTTCCCCCTCCTCTCTCTCTCTCTCCCCCCTCCCCTCTTTCTGTATCTCTCGGTGAAGAAGCTTCTTGGATCCGTAGCGAAATGTTTTCAAGAAAAAGGCCAAGGAAGCCGCCGTCTCCTTTTGGAAAAGCCCCTTTGGAAAACTTCCATCCCTGAGGACGATACGGTAACCTTTTGGGGGGCCTCCCTGCAGGTTCGCACCCTGGCCCGGACCGATGAAGCCCGTGGGCTGCTGTGGCTCTTGGAGGAGGAGTCCCTTCAGCCTGGGGGCAGCGAGGAGGGTCTTCTGGAGCGGCTCTTCACCCACTACGGCCCGCAGGACGGAGACCAAAAAGGTACCCGGGACAAGGAAGAAGGCCGTTGAATCGGGGTCATCTGGGGTGACGCTGGATCCAGTGGGATCTCTCTGGTCCCGGGGTTCTGTCTTTGGAGCAGAAACTGCCTCCCAAGGGGAGCTCAGGGTCGGTAGTCCTCGATGTATGACCGTCAAATCATAAAGTCTTCCTTTTTAGAGTGGCCAACAGAAAGGGAGGGGGGAGCAGTGCGGCCGCTTGCAAAACCGAAAGCGCATTCCATCAATGTTTTTTTCAAAGATAGTATTAACTAGGTGACTGAAGTTTCTGCTGTGCAAAATTCTAACTGGAGAGCATGATGGATGGCTCTGGGCTATGGACGTGTCCCATTGGAGGATATGAATTATGACACACCCAGAGGGGTAGCTGGGTGGGAAACCAGGGTCAAGGGTGGCAGTGAATGATGTGCCTCAGAGTCAGCTACACCCAGGCCGTGCCGGACATGTTCACTCCCAATAAATCCTTTGGAAGTTTTGGAAGTTTGGCTCGAGACTCCTGATTTAAATGGGGGTCACTGCTGGAATCCTGACTGTGTGTGTGTTTTGTGTGTGTGTGTGTGAACTCATAAAACATTTCTATGCCTGTTTTAGAGTTGCCATGAACAGGGGTGGGGGGGGAAGAAATTTGAAGGAGCAGTGCGGAGGTTTAAAACCGAAAGCGCATTCCACTCTTATCTTGCAAAGATTGTAACTAAGCGACCGGAATTTCTGCCCTTGAAAATTCCCAATTGGAGAACATGATTGATGACTCTGGGCTATGGACGTGGCCCATTGGAGAATATGAATTAGGATACACCTGGAGGGGTGGAGGGGAAAACCAGGGTCAAGGGTGACAGTGTATAATGTGCCTCGGAGTCGGCTACATCCAGGCAGCGCCGGACCGTTTAACTCCCAATAAATCCTTTGGAAGTTTTGGAAGTTTGGCTCAAGACGCATGATTTAATTGGGGTGTCCCTGCCAGAATCCTGACACGACACCAGTGGGGGCTAGGGTTAGGATTAGGGGTAGGGTAGAAGAGGGATCTTAGACAAAGAACTAAATAGGAGCCAGCCGTGTGCAGCCAAAAAAAGCCAATGCAATCCTAAATTCCATGAACAGAGGGATACAGTCGCAATCAAGGGACGTCCTCCTCCATTTCATGCCGTCTGGAGGCCGTCCCTGCGGGGGGGGGGGGGAGGGCTGAGGAAGGTGTTCTGGGTCCCGAGTCTTCCTCTCTGTCTCTCTTGCACTGGCAGCCTCCTCCAACCCGCTTCTCCGGAGCAATAAACCTCGGCATTTCTTCCTGGGACACAGCTACGGCACCAACTGGGTGGAGTATGACACCAGCGGCTGGCTGAGCTACGTCCGGCAAAATCCCGCCTCCCAGAACAGCTTGGTCCTCCTCCAGGAATCCCAGAAGTAAGGGGGACGGTCTTGGGGGGGTGAGGGGTAAGGTGGGGAGGGTGCTGCCCAGGGTGGTTCTGATCTCAGGCAGACGGAAGGGTTCTTTCTCTGAAACCGGAGCATCTGAAGAAGAGACTGGAGAGCTAGTACAGGGGGCTGGACTAGAAGACCTCCAAGGTCCCTTCCAACTATGATTCTGGAAGGAAGGAAGGAAGGAGGGAAGGAAGGAAGGAAGGAAGGAAGGAAGGAAGGAAGGAAGGAAGGAGAAAATCTGAAAGGAAAAAAGATGAGAAGGAAAAAAATTATAGGAGAAGGAGTGGCAGAACAAGGCGGTGGAGTCA